AAAAAAAAAATCAACATTTTTTAAAAAACAAAAAAATGATTTTTTTTATTTAAATCAGGGGGGTTTTATTTAATTGTATTTTTTATTTAATTGTTAATAAGGTTTTTAAAAAAATAAACCTATATAAAAATAGTTTTAATTGAAGATATGTTAAAGCTCAAAGATATTATCATGGAATAGGGATTATAACTTCTAATTATATACTAACCTTTTTAGAAAAGTTTTATATAAATGTCACAACAGGCCATGGACTATATTAGGGGCCCAATCTTACAGGGTTCCCAGAGGCTCCTCTATCGATTAGTAAAAATTAAAGAAAAACACCCTACCCTGTGAGGCTCCTAAACTTTAGAATGGAAGCTCTACTTCGGTAGAGCTCACTTCATCAGGCACCTCCATGGTTTGAAACATTGTTGACTGCTGGGGCCCACCAATGAATTGTATCAGGGGTTGTCAACTGGGGTACTCTGAAAGGTCCCAGGGGGTATGCAGGTATGGGTGGGGATGGAGAGCCACCACCCTGAGCCGCTGCCTCACTGGAGCAGGGCCAGTGCGGGGTGAGAGCAGGGCCACACAGACATTGCACTGCTGCCACTCTGCCCCCTCCATGTCCAGCTGCTCAACACCTTCCCCCCACCCTCCAGGGGTATACTTATTAAAAAGGGGGCCGCTAGGGGTACACTTATTCAAAAAGGTTGAAAACTCCTGAACTATATGGTAAAATCATGAGCCTTTTAGCTTTGAACTAGTATCATGCATACAGGCAACCCCTGCTTAGCATTCTTAATTGGTTCCTGAAAAAACGAGTATTAAGTGAAACAAAGTATTTGACAACCCAAGATGGGGACCATGAGCATTATAAAGAAACTTGCTGAGCGCTAAGTGAAATCAGGTATCAGTTTCAAATGAGCTTAATAGCAAAATAGCGCTAAGTGAAGCAGCGTTAAAGGGGGTTGCCTGTAGTTTGTACTATATATAAGCAGGTACAAAAGTGCTGCTTAAAAGTGTGCTCATGGAGAATCTGTGCCAAAACTTGCAACAATTTCAAAAAAAGTAAAATGTATCAATCCTGAATGAACTATGTCCAAGTCTATGGGTACCCACAGTAATTTGTTTATATGCAAATTACTACAGGTATGTTTATTTCAAAATCAGTGTTTTCTCACTTGCTCCTCACTTCCATGTGCTCAGTGAGAGCAGGATCTAACAGTAGGAACTGAGGGGCAGGAAGAAGAGCTGCAGGGAGATGAAGTTAGGGGGACAGAGGACAAGGGGACCACCTCCCCCCCAATTAATTTTCCCTGCTGTAGCAGTGGGAGAGGGAAAATTCTGAGGCAAACCTCCAATAATTAGATTCTATACCTTAAAAATCATAACAAATTTATACATTTTTCCATATAATCTAATTATTGGAAGGTTTTCTTATATGTGAATAAATTCAGTATTTGGTTCGACTGTGGGAGAAAATAAACCTATGAATTCATTAAATGACTTATCTTTAACATTTCATTTCAAACAAGTTTTTCCAACTGGGCATCACACTGTTTACCTGTAAACTTTTAGGGAGAACAGTGGATTTACTGAAAACATGTTTAGATGTGCTGAAAGTAAGTATAACTCAAATGGGAGTTGATAGTATTTATCTTCTCTCTCTCAGCATCGTGAACCCCTTCCCTCCCTTTTCCCCACCCCACCTCCCCTGGGCTTAGTTGGCTAACATTGTATTCTCTGTAACCTAGTTGTGTTCCCCTCCTCAGCCCCATCCTTCTAATGTTAGTCCCTTGCTCAGGCAATTTGTATTTCCCTATCGTCTTTGTCATCTTTTTGGATTCACAATCCTAAACATCTACTAATAAAATTCAATCTGTAGAACTTGTAGGGATGTAAGAGGTTCTAATCATTTTAAGCAGATCAAAATTCCTTTAACACAGGCGAAGCCTACAATGGAAACTCAATTATTGCTTCTTGATTCTTCTGTATCTTTCTATTTAAAAGATCTTACTTGTTCTTTGAACTCCTGCTCTTTCAACTTTGAATCATTGACTAGAGTCGTCTTCTGTGCTAGTTGCGCCTGAAAGGGAGATCACATATAGAATTAACTGATGAACAGTTGTGTATTCACCATCCTTTTTTGCATTTCAAGTATTTTTTGCTAAATTGTCTCTTTAAATATAATCTTACAAATACTTCTAATCACAAGCCACTGGCACAGTCTAAATAAACCCAGGAAAATTCAAGTCTTACCTGAAGCTCTATTACTGTTACCTAGAAGGAGGGGAGGAAAAAAGGACATATGAAATGCTTGGCATCTGCATATTTACAGAGACAGGAAATAAGGTAAGGCATACAAATATTTAGAAGGAGATTTCCTGACAGGAAACGTGAGGAATTAGTGGTCGTGCAAAGGACAGGAATACAAAGGCATTTCAAGAGAGTAGTGGAAGATATCAGCTATCTACAAAGGATATAGTGTTTTTGCAGTAGATGAAAACAAGGACTAAGATCGCATAAATTATTCCTTTTAACATAGTTAATGTGTGTGCAATACATAAGAAAGAGTACAATATGCAAGGATTCAAGTAAGCTATCATATGGCTTTGGCAAACATTTAACTCAATTTCAAAGTACAGTGAAGAGGCCATTATGCTCAACCTCTACAAAAAACTACAACTGTGTTAATAACAGTAATTAAGCACACATGGGACACACCAAAAAATTTAACTGCTGCTGTCTTTACTGGGAACATCATTAATTTCTTTATATATACACACACGCTTGATTGCACAGACCCAGAACTATGCAAATTAAATTAGGTCCCACATGTCAATGGAGACATGTCGGAAACATGAAAATTTTCCCCTCAGCTTGGCAATAACTTTATTAACCAACTGTGTGGATTTTGAATATAACAATATTCAGTTGGTCATTACAGAACCTCTTTGTCCAAACTTTTAAAAAATAATGCCACGGAACTTAAAAACTTTGGATAAGGGTTTTATTAATTTAAGTAGACTTATTTTGAAAAGTGCAATTGGTCCCAGAAGCTGAAAGCAGAGCAGCATTGGAAACCTTATGCTGAAATATATTAACATTTTTGCATTGCCCTGTAAGGTTATGTCAAAGAAACTGCTGCCCTCTGCTGTGGGCCTCATCCTTTTAAAATCTTCAGGTAGACAGTGCATTCCCCTGTGAGGCTCCTAAACTTTTGAACAGGAGCTCTACTTCAGTAGAGCTCATTTCATCACACACCTTCTCCCGTCTTTCACCCACTGAAACTATCAATTCTAAGTTTTGCTAATATCACAGTCTTCAGCTTGAAATATTGATATCTGATGAAGTGTAACATCCGCCAGGCCATGGAACAAAAAATCCCCCAATTTTATCAGGTATTAGATTTATACTTAACTAAAAAAGAAGTGATGCCATTTACAAGCTTAATCTTAGATTTATCTCTACCTAGCACAGCAGTAAGCAATGTTTTTTGGCTGGAGTGCTGAAAAAACTACAACGTCTACCTTGGAAGGTGCCAGAGTGCCAGCATGCCAGAAAAATAAAATTGGGGGGGAGGGGGTACAAGGTAGAATGCACTGTATATTAGTATATTTAATAATCATAAATGTTGCCTTTGTTGTTGTGCACTTTGTTAAGCATGTTGCAGTGAGACAGAGAGAAAAAAAGAAATAAAAGAGGAGAGAGAGAGAGAGAGAGAGAGAGAGAGAGAAAGG